TATATATATATATATATATATATATATATATGTGTGTGTGTGTGGTGTTGCAGTAGTACCGTATATTTATGCGGTGGCTAGTCTTGTATAACTAAGCTGCCCAAGAACAGATATATCGGAAGTCTTTCTGCAGTCAATGTGGATCGCGAAGCATTTCACCCAATTTATTATTTAGTATTGCCTACAACGATGCTCATAAGAAAGTATCTATTTTATTTATTACCCATATTTTGCATCTTCCTTGAACATACTTCATCATTCTGTTCAATAGTACTCTGAAATTCAGCTTCTACTCGCCGCACTGCTGCCTTGAACTCAACGACGCAGAGTTGTACAGGCGGCTCCTCAGCAAGAAGTAGATGCTTTTGAGAGAAAAAAGAAGTCCACATCTTAACTTAGCAAACTAGCTAGGAAGATCAGGGCAGTTGCATAGGCTGTGATCTACAACCGCTCTGCATGTAATACACTGTCGCGCCTTTGCACCGCGTGCGCAACCTATCTAACAGTCCGTTCGCATCTATTAAGAGAAGGATCTACGTAACTAGTGTTAGGAAATAGCAGTAACGGCAATATTGTGGACAAATATTAGAGGGAAAATGGTAAATCTCTAGTTAAAACCCTCTGACCGAGCCCCCCCCCCCTTCGCTGGGCCGACGGTCGTTAGATCCTAGAACCGCAAGGGGATGCCGGCGTGGGGGCCGCGGCACTGCCACCGGCCGCATTCTATGGTGACTCAGACTCTATGGAGGAGTCGACTTACCTCGACTAACCATTTTCGCTCTACAGTTAGATTAACTTATTCTAATTTTTATACGAAATTATAGATTCACTTTCGTTTTTGTCCACTAGTCGTCTTCGGCTGCACATTGTAGTGCTAGCGCACTACAACTGCCCCGCATAGATTAACACTGCAGGTACATGCTAACCCATTTATTGGCCGTCAGCAACCAGCCCGCACTCCAGCAGAAGTTCAAAACACAGTTTCAGGCGGTTCGGGCTTCAGAGCCTGTTTCAATTGCCAAACCATAAAACCCGAAACCCTAAACCCTGAACCATAGCACCTAGAACTCCTGTTCAAATATTTTTCGAGGTTAGCTGGTGTATATCCACTGTGTTCTTTTGCATTTAAACAACTTAATAAATTAATTAATTATTATTTTGGTTTAGGGAGGAGAAATGATGCCTCATTGCCTGTGCAAACACCAGCATCGACCCTTCGCTCCGACCGCCACCACAACCAAACCACTGGCTCTGGAGACGTTTGCAAACACCACGGAAGCTGCAAAACACCATTTCAGCTGCCTGCGCTGTCTGCATATTGCACTAAGTCATAACACGATCCACGGATAAAGGGCACACGAAGGCCGTCACAGCGCAAAAAAGCCCAGTCGTAGAGCACCGGAAGGGGGCCACAGCACCCCCCGCAACGAGCAGGAGGCAGAAGGGGGTCTTCCCGCTGTATCCCCCCGTAAAAGGCGTTTTTGGAGATGGATCTAGATATAATTGGAAGTAAAATGATTCGTTTAATTGGCTTATAACCGTTGAGTGGTATGAGAAGACAGACATAACCCGAAACCAAGGCGAAATGTCGTCTTACCGCCTCGACCTGCCGCGCCTGCCGACCTGCCGCGTGCCGCGTCTCTTGTGTTTTTGCATTTGTTTAAATTAAATGGTTTATTTCAGAGAATAAGTCATGCACAACAATTTCCGTTTGTTTTACTTTTGCTCAATATTAATTTATTTAATTTTATCTTTTGTTTGCAATTTTGGCTTTGCTGTCCCGGTTTTTGCCGTTCGCTGTTCACGCGACTGGAGGACCACGCAAAGAACTCCGAACTGCTTGCCGTCTTTTCCCCTCTCATCAACTTGAATCTTTACATTTCTCTTGCCGAGAAAACATTTTTTAAAAATATTCTCTTCTGAATTCCGTCGCAATGGCTCCCCTCTACAAGGCCGCAGCAGCATTCTGCCTCGTCGGGCTGAGTTGGCTCCAGTCCGAGGCTAACGCCGACGGACAATATAAATATCAGACAGTAAAAGTAGACGAAGGTAAACATACTACAGCTTGTAATTCTCACTCCTTGTGCTATCTCCCGTCTTGTCTGCTGTCAAGCCGTCAACTACTCGGCTGAGTCAGACGGAGGTCGCTTCACTGCACATTGATTTTCCTGTCCACCTTTGTTCTTTGCAGACGCCTACTTGACAGTCAAGTTGGCCCGTAATGGACAAATTTCAGCTAAGACCAGTTCAGTCGAAAAGGACGATACAATCGTCACCGCCTTGGAGACAAAAGTAAAAACCGGCGAAAGTACAAAAAACACGTGCGAAGATTTAATAAAAGACCACCTTGTGAGT